CTGTGGCCTTCTGAGCCAGGGGTTGATCAGCTTCCTTGCTTCCTGTCCAAATAGAGAGCCACAGGAAGAAACTGTGTTTACCTAGCTGAGCACCGAGTTGGAGCCCTGTGAAGTCTCAAGGTCACAGAGACTTGCTTGGTACTTCTGCTTCTATCTGGATTGAACATTCCAGGTACACATTAAAGGAAACGAGTGCTTAAAGACATAAACAAAAACACACTCACATATAAATGTAATACACTCAATGCCAGGCCCGGCAGTATGAGCATATTGAAACAAATCATTTTCCACAGACCTTGGAAAAATGAAAAACAGACCTCTTGTTACAGCAGAGGTTAACAATTGTTAAAAAGGCTGAAGCCATGAAGTAAGAGCAGGGACAGCGACTGATGATACAAATGACAAGCTGCAGTAATTTTAAAGACTGGAAAAAACCCCCCACTTCTTTCATGGTCTAGCAATGAAACTAACGGGGAGGTTTAAGCATTGAAGCATCTTTCAGAGGTTCATAAAGTAATTTCCTTGTCACAAAAAGCTTTTAACATGGAGGGCAGTAGAACCAAGGATGCGAGATGTCATATCAAACCCAAGGTCCCACGTACATTCTCACTATTGTAGCTGTAATGCTCTGTAGCACTCTGGCTTACCTTTATTTAGAAAAGGTTTTTTTGTATGTAGCCTTGTTAATTGGAGCTGTCATATACTGTTTACCTATATATTTTTTCATCCTTTGTTTGATTTCATAGCATCTATCATGATTTGTCAAGGCCTGTTGAAAGTCAAGATCCATTGGGCTCCTTAGACACAGACACACACACGTGCACACTAACATACACACATTTCTAATTCCTTGGCTCATTAAGATTGGAATGTATGGCTTCAATAAATGCAATACTCACTCACACACATGGGTTTCAGACTATAGCCGCTGTATGGCGGCTCTTAATTCAATTAACAGAAGCTGAGAGTTTATTGCTAATTTCTTTTCTGTCCTTGAGTGAGATTACATCTACTGGAGTGACCTAATGTCAGCACGGCAGCTTGTTGGAACATTTAACGACAGCATTGCTCTGTATCTGGCTGACTGAGGCTGGGACTCGTAGGTGAGGGAACAGAGAACACACATTTCCCGGTCAGTTAGCTGCTCAAGGTTGCAGGGAGCCTGCAGCGGAGCAGGTGACCTTGACTGAGCTGGAGCAGACAGAGAGAGACCTTGAGAGACAGCGGGGCAACAGGATCTAACATTGAAAGAGGTGGGAAACATAATGTGGGAATTCATAACTATATATCACAACACACATATAAAAGCGGCTGAATTTTAATATTTTGTTCTTAATTAAAAAAAAAAATTGATTAATATTATGACTGTTATCAATTGCACACACACAAACATTATGACCAAATTTTCTGGACACACTTATTCTTATGTCTTGTTATGTCTCTCATTTGTATCTTTATCTGCTTTATACCCTTTGTATAGTACTGTATCAATCATCAACTACTGTAATGTGTTTGTTACTAGACCTTTTTTAATTAATTTGACCTGCACCAAATTACTCCACTACATTTAGTTACTTCCTAGTAACTGGTCAGAATAAGATAAATTAAAAACCATATAGTAATTCCCAGGATTTGCAGCAGTAAAGTACTTTAAATGAAAATAATAAATTTCAAAACAGCATATGTGATGCTTAAATTTTGTTCCATCTACATAATATACAATATATTTTATAGCAAAGCAATATATAATATAAGCAAAGCGTACTTTACTTATATTATATAGCACCTTTCTAAACCCAGGTTACAAAGTGCTTCACAGTAAAACAAAACAAAAAATGATGATAATGAGAGCAGCAAAAACAGTATAAGGCCAAACAAAACAGAAAAAGATCACATTAATAAATACACGGATAAACAAATACCTTAGACAGTACCAGTACTAAACACCTGCCCCATAAAATACATTTTAAGAAAAGTCCAAAAAACAGCCAGACTGGGGCAGCCCTAATGTCTGGAGCTGCCACTGCAAGAGCCAGATCCCCACCATGTTTTAGCCTAAACCTAGGTAGATCTAAAAGAAGCTGATTGGGCAGCCTTAGAGATCTTCCATCTCTACACGGGTGCCAAACCATGCAGTGCTTTGAAAACAAATAATAAGAGCTTGAAAAAAATCCTGTAATGAACTGGAAAGCCAATGGAGCATGCCAAAACAGGGGTTATATGCTCTGGTTTGCAAGTGTTTGTCACCAGATGAGCAGCTGCATGTTGGACTAACTGAAGACAGGATGGGGATGCTTGAGAGATCCCAACATACAGAGAATTACAGTAGTCAAATCTGGAACTAATGAAGGCATGGATTGTTTTGGCAAAATCACTGAATAAGAAAAAAACTTTTGCTAACAATCTCAGTTGAAATAAGCCAGCTCTGACCACAGTTATAGTGTAATTAAGGCCCCTGGCATTGCAGTTTATACTGTTCTTCACTATCACACATACAGTATTTGCAGTTATTCAAATTATAACAAACCGATTGCCACAAAATTAACCTGGAACCTTTGGCTCCCCAGAGAGTCTCGAGCCCAGTGGCACTTTCCTACCATGTAATCAAGCCGATTGCCTGAAAACAGCTTTAGATATTTCAGTTAATTATTTCCAGAAATGAAATTCCAGTGAATGTAGGGGCAACGTATACAAAATTCCTTTGTCTTACAGTCTAACACAATTTCTGTGTAAACTCATAGCTGAAGTCTTAAAAATCTAGCGTGTAAGGACACATAAAACACATAAGGTGCCTGTTAAGGTAGCTCGACAAAAGCCTGGCATTTAGTGGAGACCTTGGCCTTGGCAAAAGCAAATACATATATAAAGCAGCACCCTGAAAGGAGAGGAAAATTATATTGGTACAAATAAATTGTGAAGAGGAGAAAGAATGGTGTGCTAAAGCAATTTATCCAGTTAAGCAAGGTGGATGGATGAACTTGAAAAGATAAGGAAGGAATTGAAATTGGAAAGAACTTCTTGTTATAAAAGAATCTAGGATTAAATTAATAAGGGTGAAAAGTGACATGAAAACCTCAGTCAGTTGTCATAGGTGAAAACCCTGCAATTGTTCAGTCATACAATGCTTATGTTGTGAGAAAGAAAAAGTACACAAGGATAAAGGCCTGGCATCAGTGAATAGTTGGTTTTAACCCAAATATGAAACTAATGATGCAAAGTAAAGACAAGGTAAAAGGTAAAGCATGAAAATATAGCCTCTGCACACAGAACTCTGAACCGTGAGGTCAGAAGCATGCATGAGAAGCTATATAATGGATGCTGGTGTAAGTATGTAGTTATAGTTATACAGGATGGCTGTGGCTCAGCAGGTAGAGTGGTTGTCCCCCAACTAGAAGGTGGGCGTTTGATTCCAATTCTCCCCAGTCCACTGTTGAAGTGGGCAAAACACTGACCCCAAAGTTGCTCCCAATGGCCAGAGCAGTGCCTTGCAGGGACAGTGTCGCTATCTCTCTGTGTGTGTGTGTGTGTGTGTGTGTGTGTGAGTTGGCGCTGCAGACGGCTGCCTTGTTTCTGTATCGTTTCTGTGTGTAACATACTTGGCCAATTATCATAGTTTATGCAGCAGTGGTGGCAAATAACTGAATACATTTACTCAAGAGGTACTTGCACTTTACTGGAGTATTTCCATTTTCTGTTACTTTTACTTTACTACAATTTAAAGGGAAATATTGTACTTTTTACTCACTACATTTATTTGTCTTAGTTACTTTGAATATATTTTGCATTAAGAATCTGAATCTTCAAAACAATAAAAGATGGTCTTATTATGGCAGAATGTAAAGTGGTTAAAATTGGCTCCACATTTGGCAGCTGTGCTGTTTTTGTTCCATACCAAGTCACTATATAGCAACAGCTCTTGGACTGTTGTGCTTCATTAATTATTAGAATTTTTTGTTGCATATTTCACTTTTGAAAGTTTGTTGAATAAACGTGGATGGGACTTCTGCATTCATGTTAACAACAGCATCACATTCTACAGTGTTT